AGTAAATGGTCAGTGAGTTTTAAGTTTATTTTAGCCCATGTCCATAATAAAAAATGTGTCTAAAAATGTCCTTATTGAGAACAGATAGGCTTCAACGAGGTGTTACAGCAGAAAGGTATCAAGGGAAAAAAATGCAAATTATATGTGGCTTTAAAAATCCGAAATAAACTACTTATCCTCCCATAACTTTAAAAGAGCAAACAGAAGAATAAGGAAATGGCATCGGTTGTTCTCAATGGAATCTCACTCTTCACGTTCCAAAAACAATTCTCCTAGTAAGCCGTTGGACACCAAAGCCTAATTCATGAAGACGTGATAGACAACTAGTGAAGCATGTCACATTACATAATGTGAATGACTCCTCGTTATGTGTTTTAAAGTATTTTTTCTCTTTTGCTATTGGTAGCAATACCATCATCCAATAGCCAATAGCTTCATCCTCTGAATCAATGTTGACAGAGAAATATATCATGGGAACGATAAAAAGTAAATTGTAAAATAATGTCTGTTTTCAGGGTCAAATCCCTGTCAAGCACTCTGTGACCTTTTGCATGGTAAAAGTGGTGTGCATATTTGCAGTGGTGCATAACATGAGAGCATCCGACACCTGACAGAGCTGAGACTCCCCACACCCTGATCACTGATCCCCGCTTAGTCTTCTTATCTCCGAGGAAACATTATTTCCTCTAGGCCTGTAACCTAAACAAGGGATACATCTTAGGACAGACAGAGCTCATCTTCAGTCATTGTGTGCTTACCAAATATGTGAAATACAGCCTGTAAAAAATGTAAACATTTCATGTTAGGAAATAGGAATTTAATACACTATTCAGTGCTCAAATTGAAATTAAGTTTAATACAAAAACAATGCTTCAGATATGTCTCATGGTGAAGGAACAAATACGTTATCCAGAATAATGGGCTGTTTTTAATGTCAAGAGAATGAGCTTGACAAGCTGCAGTGTATGTAAGCTTCTTGTGTCTACCCTTGAGAATGACCTGACACACCCCTGACTGATTCGCTCCTGCGGAGCAGGTGCAGATTGCTCTGCTCAATAATCTTTACAATTAGACCATATACAATGGGCCCAATCAACCTTGACACTCTGTACCAAGGAAAGAGAACTCACGGATTCACAGCAGCCTGCAATACAAATACTACAACACAGATAAAGAACTAACCTGTCAAGCGATTAGATAGATAGATAGTTTTGTAAATATACTCAAATAATACACATAACCAAATACATAATTTACTTCAGTAATATTCTAATGTATTTTGTACATAATAATGTGCATAATGTAGCTGTACATTTGTTTCAAAACAATTTTGAATTCACCCTGGACATGTTTAATGAGGAGCAGCAGCAATTGATGATAAATTATGCTAACAATATATAATTAGAGCTCACTTGAGAATGTTGATGAGTTGTTCGTAATGAAGAGACTCTTCACCCTTGTTTCATGTGGGTCTCTGAAGAGGGCAGAATGCAGGGACATGCCTATGCTATTTGTGTCATTAAAGACATAATACATCTGCACAGAGGATGCTTTTGTTGTCAAATTAATTTAAGGGGGGGGGGCACATATCTGTTTGTCATTCACATCCCCCATTTTCAAGTATTTGAATATCCCATTCTCAACCCATATTTACTACTTGCCTCTATTCATTTTTATCAACTATATTTCAGCTGTGCTATTTATGCATCCTAATCAATAGATTTCTGAGACTATTATGCTGTTATAATCACATCTGGAGCTCATGTCTTACGCAATTCATGGTTGTTTCAGTCTTACGTACTAAAACGCAGTCTCAACCTCCACTTCAGAAGGACATTTTTTTCCATATGCAAAATGGTTATATTTGGGCTAGAAATGTCCAGGATGTCCGTCCTGTTTATGACATCACCCACTGGCTTCTGAATCTCATGAGAGCTGAGCATATCAAACTCTACATGCTTCAGCTGCCCAAAAACAGCAGCGACATGCACTCATCCAGGATATCCTACAACAGAGTCGGAATGGTGACTCCCCTGTTTGCTTGTTTTTATTCTGCTCCATTCCAAGCTCCACATCCGTCCACTGGTTCAAAGAGGGTTCACTGAGTCTAAGAGTATACAGTGAAGACTGTGGAATCAAAACTCCTTTCTTGCCTATCACCACAGAGAAAGACAGGGAGAGAAAGAGAGAAAGAAGCACACTTTGTAGCAGACAGAGCAGCAGGGGAATGTAGTCGGTGAAGCCTCATAAATATCTACAAAGTCTATGATAAGCAGAGAGGACCTTGTGTTCTCACAGCCGGTTCTCTGCCTCACTCTGACTCGAAACATGCATCATTCCTGTCACCCGAAATGCAGTGAAGAGTGACCCCTTCATAAACTACAATGACCAGGACATGACTGCATAAAAATGACACAATGATAATTTGATGCATTAGAGGCTATAGAATTTAGATATTTTATCTGCAACAAAATACTTGAACTATTTTAATTAAAAAGAAAATAATTATTTTTCTAAACATATAATAAACAAAATGCTTTGTTTCTCTGAGTCTCTTGCTCACCAAAGCTGCATTTATTTGATCATCAAATCTTTATTTGATTAAAAATATTGTAAAATAGTGTTATAAAATACTTTTATATTTTATCCACAACAAAATACTTGGCCCATTTTAAGTAAAAATGTATTTTTATTTACAGCATTTATTTGTTTATATTATTATTGTTCATTAAAAGATGAAGGAAACTGCTTAAAGGGATAGTTCACCCAAAAATGAAAATGTATTTACTCCCCGTGATTTACTCACCCTCAAGCCATCCTAGGTGTATGACTTTATTCTTTCAGATGAATACAATCGGTTATATTAAAAACATCCTGGCTCGTCGGCGCCAATAGCCTTGTGGTTAGTGTATCAACATATAGCGCAACTGCGCTCACGGCGACCCGAGTTCAATTCCCCCTTCGAGGTCCTATGCCGATCCCGCTCCCCTCTCTCCACCAAACACTTTCCTGTCAGCTCTCCACTGTCCTCTCACATTAAAGGCATAAAAAGCCCATAAACATAACTTAAAAAAAATGTCTTGGCTCTTCCAAGTTTTGTAATGGCAGTGAATGGGTGTTGAGATTTTGATGTCCAATAAAGTGCATCCATCCATCATAAAAATGCTCCTCAAGGCTTTGGGGGGTTAATAAAAGCCTTTTGAAGCAAATTGATGCATTTGTGTTATAAACCATAATCTCTAGCTTCTGCTAACGGTCATACACGCGTGCACTAGAGAGTGGTGTTCCAGCGGATGATGTAGGACGTAGTTGTAGCGTAAGCTCCGGTAAGAACATGCTGGTCTCGCGAGAACCAACTTTTGTTTACAGCAAAGGAAAACCAGTCTCCTCTTGGCTTATATCGAAATCCTCCGACATTTTTCTTTACAAATCCTCGTTTTGTACTTATAATTTGTGAACAGTGTTTTGTTTTGCTCTCTCCTCTGCGCTTCCGCATTCGTCACTTCTCACCGGAGCTTACACTGCGCCTATGTCCTACATCATCCGCTGGAACGCCATTCTCTCATGAGCAAGCATACAACAGTTAGCGAAAGCTAGAGATTACGGTTTATACACTTTTAAATATGGATTTTTAAATATAACTCAGATTGTATTTGTCTGAAAGAAGAAAGTCACGTACACCTAGAATGGCTTGAGGGTGAGTAAATCATGGAGTAATTTTCATTTTTGGGTGAACTATACCTTTAAGAGTATTATGATGCCATCATCCATGAGATTCCTTCACATGGATCTGCTACAATTTCTCATTCAGGAACTGAACCGCAAAAACAAAGCAAAAATTTGACACCTGTTGGCCACACCATGTTTGGTGACCACCATTTCCAAGCCTAAAGCCTCTCAGGACACGGTGTGGGCAGCCATATCCTGTTTCACTGCCCCTGTGTGCACACCATTTAGCATACAGATGGACAGTGTGTTGGAATCATATTGTGTGTCCTCCTGCTCTTTGTTTGCCACTCATAACTCCAGAGGTGGGCACAATGCTCCCTTCCCTTCAAAGGGCTGGTCACACCTGGGAGTGTTCTGAGAAAGGGAGTAGGCACCATAGCCAGCTGCACAGATGGCCTCTTACGCTAAAGCACAATGGGCGAGCTGAAAGAGGTCCATGTGTCGGGTTACATATGAAAGTGCTTAGCAAAACTCTGGACGAATTTGGGAGCCATTTACTAGAGGAGCTCATTACTATTTAATCATCAGTAGTGACATAGTGGAAACATCATGTTGTGATGGGCTTGTGTGGCGTATGGTAGGGTTTCTCATTACCTGCGAACATTACATTATGCTAACTTTTTACTACGGAAGCTTGTTTCCCCAACAAGATAAAAAAGTAACTGCAACATTTGATCTTGCAATACTTCGAAAAAAAAAAGTCAGAATTGTGAGATATAAATTCAGAATTGTGAGATGTAAACTTGCGATTCTGAGAAGAAAAAACTAATTGTGAAACATAAACTTGTAATTGTGAGAAAAGTCAATTGTGAGATGGAATTTTTACTGCATGACAAAAAAAAATAACACATAATTGCGAGATGTAAACAAAGTATGTAAGCTTCTTTACAGCACAAAAAAAAAAAAAAAAAGCTATAATTGTGAGATAAAATGAGGCTTACATATTTCTACCATCTTTTAAAGACTTATTTGAAATGTCTTATTTGTATTCATGGTTTCATATGGTTTAAAAATACCAATATGGTAGAAAAAAAATCTTTATATATAGAGACTTTATATATACACATAAACTTGATTTTTGATTTTATATACACATAAATATGCATAATTTGGCTCAAATATGGTATAACATTTTTATAAGCAGTCTATGCCCCCCAAAAATATCAAAATTAATTTTAATTCAAAAATTAAAAACATGCTCATCATTGCATTTTTAACGTATTGATGAACAATTTAATAGATGTGCATTACGCAATTGATGTGCACTGATAAAACCAAAATGAGTAAAAATGTGCTTGCAAGTGCAATAACTGATGTTCAGTTGTTGAAGAATACTACCATAGCCCTTAAGAAGATACGGTGAAGGTTAGCAAATGCTCTGAGAGGCAAACAGACTGACAGGAAGACTTGCATCTCGTTGAACAAAACCCTGAGGGGGTGTTCCATGACCTGTTACCATCTCATTCCCTGGCAACAAGTTTTTCACGCAGTGCTGGTTGTACTATAGAATTTTTGAGGAATGTTGTAGGTGGATTGGAAGTCAAGAAACTCAGCCTTCAGGTCTGCAATGATAACATCTGTATGTATGTACTGTACCTCAACCCAGGAACTCACAGCATCCATATCAATGTAATACACCTCAAGGAACTCTGCTTACAGTGAGGAGCAAACTCAAAATACTTAAAGAAGATCTGAACACAAGCACATCAGTGTAGGTGATCCACAGCCAAGGGCGGTGGAAAAAGAAGCCCTTATCTGTAACACAAACCCACATGCTGATCATGAGATGCTCAGAAGCTGGTATAGCTTGAAAGAGGAAACAAATGATCACTTACATGTCAGATTTTGAGTGCCCTGCCCTGAGGCATTGGAAGCAGAGTGAAAGTGAAAGCAGGAATTACTGGAAACCAGGACCAGTCTCAGCAGGACAATTTGAAAAATTACTTCCTAGCAGGCAAAGCAGATGATGATGCCATGAAAACTGAAATGAAAATATGATTATTACTCCAAAGGCTCAAATGCATTAACACTAAAGAATTAAGAGCAGTTTTGATGCACAGATGCAAAATACTGTGATTATACGGTTAGATAATTCTTTAGACACTGACAGATGGTAAATGGGGCTAACTACAAAAAGACTAGATTTTATGCCACAGGCTATGTTTGAGTGGTTAGCCTTAGGAGGAAATAACAGGAAGGGAGGCCAATCCCTTGACACCTGCAATCTCATGTGCATTGATTACCAGTGGCGGCTCGTGGGTTTTAAATTAGAGGAGGCACTCTAATTGTATTGGTCTGGGATCCCTGCCGATTATTATTATTTGCTTAACCACTTTAAAATGACTTTTTGGCTGCTTTTAGTCAGAAAACGTAAAGAAAACGACACACATACAGCAAGATAATATAATTTCACTTACCTGGCCTATCACTTGAAGCAAACATCCATCCCTTCTTAAAAGTCTGTGTTAAAAGAGCGCTGCCTGTTGCGCCATTTAATTAAGCGGTACATTATCAGTGCAGCGGGAGACGTTCCAACTAATATCACGTAATTTACGTCTCTGATGATTGGTTGATATCAGACCATATCAGTTGATATGCGAGGGTTCTTTTCTCAACACTGGATGGTGATTGGCTAATTTTTTTTTTACCAACAGAGGCACAGAGCTCAGCTCTCCCCGGCTAAATTCACATTAAGTCGATAATATATGTGAACAAAATCATCACAATTACCACAATGTGTTCCATAACAGGAGCGACTCGAAGAGGCTCCAGCTGCACCTTGTCTCTGTGAAGCTGTGCCTCCCCTGACGAGCCGCCACTGCTGATTACAAGTATTGGTTCTGGCAACTTAGCTTGGCTTTAGTGTCATCTGCACATCAACTTCTACACAATTAGCCTTATTGAATCAGTCTCATTTATTGACATTTTATGCAATTATTAAGCAAGTAAATGAATGATGAGCTGATGGCATAAAATTCACATTAAGTCGATAATATATGTGAACAAAATCATCACAATTACCACAATGTGTTCCATAACAGGAGCGACTCGAAGAGGCTCCAGCTGCACCTTGTCTCTGTCCAAGCCGAACGCGGGAGTGGGGCGTGGCGCGAAGCAATCAATCACAATAACACAGCCAATCAAAACAGTTTCTCTTTGTTTGCGCGCTCTATCCATTTTGTCGTAGAAAATCCAATTCTAAATGTCTACAACCAATCAGCATGTCCCGGTCCATGTTTGATGCTATTTTGGTCCAATGAGATTTCAATGTGGGCGGGCTACCTGATGCAATGCCGCCAGATTACCACTTGTTGGCTTTCATATATTTGATGATTCCGCCAGTATTACACACTATTTTGGCACATAAAAAGACATATTTTTTTTTATTATAATGAGATTAAAAAGAAACCCCTGGAGTATGTTGTCAAATCTGAGATATGCTAAATAATTTTCCAAATTGTATCCCATCTTTACCCCTTAATAAAAATGAATTAGACTCCTTGTAAAATCCATTTGATTTATAAAGAACAAAAATAATCTTAATTATTTACAAATTTCTAATTTTTTTGGTATTTTCTTGTAACTGTTTTTGTGTTGTGTGATATGTTTGTTATTAACAAAATACACTGTTAAGAAAAAGACAGTTTGCTATTGCAGGGGTGATTTTTTTTTTTTTTTTAAGGAGAGCAAAAGTGGGTACATGTTGTCTTAGGCAAGTTGCATAGGCAAGACAGCTCAAATGTGATAATGTATCAAAACTGAAACTGATAGCTAGATTCGCACCAAATGTTAGAAATGTTTCAGTTTACGTACTTTCTCACGATAAATATTCAAAGGGGATACATGTGTAAAGGTGATACATTAGGCAACTAAAGATCAAGTCAGCTCTGCAAACAAACTCAGTGGGCTGTAAGTTAATATGTTAATATGACATATCTGTGGCTTGCATATAAGTAACAATATGGGCTATCGTTCTACCTTTAAAGGGTTAGTTCACCCAAAAATGAAAATTAGCTCATAAATGATTCACCCTCAAGTCATCCTAGGTGTATATGACTTTCTTCTTTCAGACAAAAAAAAGTGTCTCACACGGCTCCGGGGGTGAACAAAGGCCTTCTGTAGTGAATCGATGTGTTTTTGTAAGAAAAATATCCATATTCAAAACGTAATAATCACTTTAATGTAGCTTGCGCTCACTGTTGTAAATGGAAGCAGTTCCGGGCTGATGACGTATGGAGGTCGGCTTTGCGCATGCACTGCTCAGAAGTGACGAATGTGGAAGCGGAGGGGAGAGATCAAAACAAAACACCGGTCACGAATTAGAAGTACAAAACGAGGATTTGTAAAGAAGAATGTCGGAGGATTTCAGTATAAGCCAATAGGAGACTGGTTTTCCTTTGCTAAAGTAAGGAAACTTTGCTTCCTTTAATTTTCATTTTTGGGTGAACTAACCCTTTAAGGCCCAAAACAGGCCTTAATTAATCACCCTCCTGCCTGGCCTGACAGAGCTCCCGGAGGATGTCTGGGTATTCCCCACTGAAGCTCACATCAAATCAGTCCTATGGTAGCCTACTGCTAGAAGCAAAATCGGCACATTAGAGGGAGCCAGTGGTTGACATCAAGATGGGGCAAGTGCATACAAACATTCAGCAGCACCATTAATGCATTAAGCTTGTGTTATCTACAGTAAATCTTATCAGCTGCGCTTGGTGTGTGGAGCAGGATGGGGGAGTGATGACAGATCAGGACTTCAGGGAAATGGAAGTGCCCTTTCCTTTAGGGGCAGGAAAGATTGGAACCTGCATGAAATTTAGAAGTTGCTGCTCAACGTGAGCTGAAATGTTGACCTCACCTCCTCATCAAGAACATTGTATTGATACATTTTCCTCCATGCAGATGGTTTATGAAAGTACTGACAGTGAAGAATAACAATAAGAGTGAACAACTCCTTACAAGTCAGCCTGTAAGTTGGCTGTAAGTAACCTGTAAGAAAAGGAATAATAGAAAGGTTTTGTTAGGAAATGTAACTAGTTGCAATGGAAAACAAAACCCACACCTTCTGTATGAGAGAATCTTTTGAACAGCATTTCCACATATAACAGAGCTTTTCTCCAGATTTACATACACTGTTACTAGAAGCTCAGCAGATAGGCTTATATTAACAGATGGACTAGAGTCAAAATTATATATGCAAATTATGTGAAACTACAAAATACTAAATGACTGAAGAAATTGGCAGCCTCAAGAGACCCGTTAGCAATGTTTGCTCAACACAGGAAGCCTGTTTCTGCCTCACAGAAAATGATTAAAAAGGTACTGTAATTGTCAAATGAAGTTTGAGTCACACTGTGAAATAAAGTCACAATTATGAGAAACAAAGTCATAATTACAATAAAGTTGCATAAATTGAGGTATAAAGTCACAATTATATTCGTGCTTGATAAAAGTAAACAGAGAAAATTATGAGATTGGCACCAAACTCAAAGCAGCACAACTCTGTCTCCCACACATCATTTTCATTGTAAAGTGAATTTCCCTCTGCAAATCAAACCGATGCCAGGCTTCACAAAGACAACATCTGGAATATTCATAATCCATTGTGTATAGACTGGTGTTAAAGGGATAATTCAAATATGAGCTCTATATTTTCACTATATAAACCAGTGTATGGAAATCAAATATGATAGTCAACAAAAACACATGCAAACTTTTTATTATTATTTTAGTTTTTTGTATAAAATTTCAAAAACTTCATTTCAAACAAATTATCTATTATTTCATGTCAGGCATCACCAGTGTTGAGAAGGTTACTCTGGAAATGTAATAGGTTACAGATTACAAGTTACCCTACTTAAAATGTAATAAGTAGTGTAACTTTTCAATTACTTTATTAAAGTAATGTAACTGATTACATTTGATTACTTTTCTAAATTTCTAATGTTTTCAACTGTTAATCATTTTCAAACATGTAAACCAGGCAGGGTACGTAATTCCGTTACATGTAACTAGTTACTCCCCAACACTGGGCATCACAGGGTTAATGATAAAAAAATGCACCTGAAAGAATCACGACTGAGGCAAAATCTTCATGTAAATTTGTCCCACCCCCACCATTAATTTCTATTAGCAAGCTAATCCCATTAGGGTGTACTATGAAATAATCATCGCATCTCTAGAGCGGTTCCCAGTTCATTACATTAAACACACAACAAGAAAAGCCAAAAAAAGGCTTAGTACATCTGACACAAGCCCTTTCTGGGTCATCTGAACAAAGCCATCAGTAAATCAAGAAGCATAGAAAACATGCTGAAGTGCGCTTGCCATGTCTTCTCCTCTTCCCTGCCTCACAGATCACATTCATTATGTCTTGTTGTGAGGCGTGTGGTTGCTATAGCGAAGTGGTGGTAGTTGCACTCAGTTACTTAATGCTATTATTTGTGACCCCCTCACCCAACCACCTGTCCCTCCTCCACAATCCCCGGACATCCGTCAGTAAGGCTGTCTAATGATTACCAATGTGCCTAAAAAGAGCAGAGATGAAAACAAACATTACCTTGACAACTCAACTCCTCTCGAAGCTCTACATAACGAAGAGCTCACTCTGACCCCTAGAGAGCTCTGGATGAGAGACTTCACAAATTGTCCCTCAGTTTTGGATGAAAACATCACGTAACATCACTAAAAAGTCTAATAACGTCAAAGAACTTTAAATAAACACGTTTATAAATTAAGCTTAATGCTGATAAGATGATATGCAACAAAGGCTTAATATTACCTAATTTGATGATGCCAAGTTCAAAAATATCAATGAGAACTTTCCATTAGTTTTTCTCCCCACAAAATCTGTAACAATCTGTTGTTTGGATGTAGCAGAAAACACCTTGGTCATGTGTATTATTTTCTTTTGTCGATGGACATAATTCTAACCTTGAAATCAGGATTAGGTATTAAATAACATCTTCAGAATCATTCTTGTGAAAAATGAGAATTGAACAAATAGTTGTAGCCTGGTTTAAAGTAAGATAGGAACTATGTTTTTTGCGGCAGATTTTCTGACGATTAAGGGATAATACAATACTTCTTCACCTTAAAAATGGTTGACGAAAGCAAAAATGCTTCAAAATGCACATCTTTTGTGGAAAAGCGTGCTAGAGCAAAAACGTGCACTATTTTTGGAATCGGCACCCCAAAGAAACAAGTTCTGGATTTCATTGAGAAAATAGTGTTGTTTATCAGTCATTACACCACTTTACAATTTTGCATATGTATAATAATTTTGCACGGATATCGACTGAAACTGACACAAATAGAGACTCCATGACCTAAGGCAGTAGTAACCTTTTTATTCATTTAAACTGAATGCAGATCAATGTAATACAGAGTGCACATGCAATATTTCATTTTTGAAATATATATATATATATATATATACGTTCGAGGTGCCATACATGAAAACAATCAGTAAGTTTGAAAATCAAGCATTACTAACAGTGGCACATGACAATAAATCAACAATTTATTAATTTTTAAAAGAAATCAAGCCCTATCCTGAGATAAACGTACAAAACACTCAAACAAGTTCAAAGATTTTTTTTTATAAGAGATTAAGAAAATGATATCTGAGGCATTGTGATATGAAATAATGCTTCCAAATCAAATGCATAATTCTTAAATGTCTCATTTGCATACTTTAAAAGGAGCGCTTGAAGTTTAAAAACACTCCCATTGTGGACCAAACCAAACCTGTTTGTCTTTTTCCACAACACTCGTTTTGACTGATTATATGACC